GTAGTAGTAGTAGTAGTAGTAGTAGTAGTAGTAGTAGTAGTAATAGCAGCAGTAGTAGCTAATTGTATGGATTCACATTTCCAACCTCTTTTCTTTAATAGTTCCATGGTGCAATGGTGAGATTAACAATTTCCATTTATCAGTGAAACTATATTATGATAGTTCCAGTGCCTCTGTGCACTCCGCTCAGAAAACTCACAGCTGCTGGAGTGAACAATCAACATAGACGCATTTCTATATAAATCACCATCAGTCTACCTGTACCTGCATCCAGTTTTGACATAATCTATCTACAGGTTTGTTGTGTCGCCTAAGTGGCTAGTTTATTATACACCCACAGATCATCGTATAAGTAATAGCATAGAAAAACAATAATAAAAGCCACAATGGGCCACTGTCAGACCCCACTGAGCATTGTTATACCACTAGAAAGGAATGCTAATCATTGTGTATTTTAGAATTTACTTCCTCTAGTTGTTGTTGTTGTACCCAGTACAATACGGAATACAATCTAAAAAAAAATATCGCCACTAAAATTTTTTTTTATTATACCTAGCTGTCCCCATCCCAATATGTCATTCTTCAGGTCACCATATGTCATATTCAAACCTCACTCTCCGCTTACATATACTCTTTTTAACCCCTGCATGGAGAAGACCTGGACCAGGACTCGTCCTGGTAGACCAACATAAACCTGTCAGAAATAATGAAGGTCCCAGGACCGATTTTTTTTTTTTGGATAAATATGTCCTAGTGTTGGCTTACGTGTTTTTGTAAAGTAGACAGTTTGTTTATGTAGTTGGCGCAAAATGTTGATACAACCACAAGATTTCAGATACATTATCATTAACAAAGAGGACCCCGATAGAAATAAACAAAGGACACTAATGGGAATAAGTCACTGAGTGTTTTGGGTTATCCTAGGTTCTCTACACATAGGCTGTGTATGATAATATGTGTAACTATTTGTGTATACCTGAATAAACTTACTTTTGTTCTATTCCTGTAAGGTTTACATGAAGGTGGCTCTAAAAAGCTGGATATTTGGACACTAAGATGTACTGTCCCAGTGTATGACTCTGTCAACACACTTGTATTTTGGCATTTATATCTCCATACAAATCATACTGCCACATACTTATAGCCTAGCTTTAGTCTAGTAGTAACATCTTGTAATGTACTGACCGTGTTTGTGGGTATGGGTGAAGGACTGACGTCATGGAGGGGAAAAATAAAGCACTGACGGGAGTGATGGTGCCTCAGGCGACCTTCAACGCCATGACTGTCCGGGATGGTGGTGGGTTTTCTCACCCTCATCATTAGCCTCTCTCACCCTCGTCACTCTCCCTCACCCTCGTCAGTCTCCCTCACCTTCATTAGCCTCTCTCACCCTCGTCAGGGTCTCCTTCACCCTCGTCAGTCTCCCTCGCCTTCATTAGCCTCTCTCGCCCTCGTCAGAGTCTCCCTCACCCTCGTCAGAGTCTCCCTCACCCTCGTCAGTCTCCCTCACCCTCGTCAGTCTCCCTCACCCTCGTCAATCTCCCTCACCCTCGTCAGAGTCTCCCTCGCCTTCATTAGCCTCTCTCACCCTCTTCAGTCTCTCTCACCCTCGTCAGAGTCTCCCTCACCTTCATTAGCCTCTCTCACCCTCGTCAGAGTCTCTCTCACCCTCGTCAGTCTCCCTCACCTTCATTAGCCTCTCTCGCCCTCGTCAGAGCCTTCTGCTCACCTATTCTCTCGACCAACTAGATAATATCAGACAGTTCTTAATCAGTACAAATATGGAGGCCTCAGCATATAGCCTACGTAGAGTCCAAGTTTTTTTTTTATTTTCCTTCCATTCCATTCTCTCTCTTCTCTTCCCTCCATCTCTAAATTCTCTCCTACCCATCACGTTTCCCTTCACTGCCTGTCAACATGAGAAATCCCACAAACACCCACATCCCTGTCCTTGTCACTTTATGTGACTCTTTTGGGTTATCCTAGGTAATTTACACTATGTATGATAATTGTATTTTGGTGTACTTGTGCCTGAATAAACTTAATTATCCCACCAACACCCACATCTCTACCCCACCACCAACCACCCACCAATATACGTGGTCCTCAGCAGGATATGCTTCCCCACCTGTTGCAGCTTACTCAGTTTTTACCATCCTCTCTTGCCTCTCCAAGTCCTTATTTACTTCTCTTATTTCTCCTCGTCCTGTCGTTGCTCCCATGGCCGGAATTAATTAAGTCTCTGGCCAGCCGGGAAACTGCCCGGGCCCTGACAGCAATTTATAACCTTAATTTTTAAAGGGGTAGAGGGGTAAGCCAGTAGAAGGCCTCCGTCAGATGACCAAAACCTCCAGTGGTGAGACATTGTCTAAGACCCACGTCAGGAAACACTTGTCCTATTTCCTAACAAATCTTACCTAACCTAAGCCCTAACAGGGTTGCAGATGAGAGAAACAAACTTCAAAGTTGTGTAACTGAACCGAGAACCCTGGGTACCTTTAAAACTAAGTTAGACAGGTATATGAGTAGCTGTTGGGTGAATGTGAGTTAGACCTGCCGAGTATGGGCTAGGTACCAACATGTAAACAGGAACAGGAAAGTTAACTGCGTATTTCGACCTTGTGATGTCCTCACCAGCAGATACAAGGGAGAGGAAATCATGGCTATATATAGGCATGGAGGAACATTATGTTACCTAAGTTGTCACTGGTGGATCAGGTCAACCTACACGAGGCTCATTATAAGAAAGAACACTGCATTAGGCCTACTGGCCAACACTAGGCAGGGCCTCATTACAAGAACCTAAGAAAGGAGGAACCTACAGCAGGCCTGATGAGATTAAGACACATGTGCAACATCTGGGTATCCTTATTGTAGACGTTTCGCCATCCAGTGGCTTTATCAATACAAATTCTAGGACATAACTTGAAGACAGTAGAACTATGTACAGAAGATGAGGTAATCAGTCCCTCAACCTAGGAGTAGGTGCGAAGAGCGCCATAGTCGTGGAGATTCAGGCCTATTGGCCCATACTAGGCATGTCTTTCTCAATCCCAAACACTTCCCAAGAAATAGGCATACCCTCCTCCCTCTTGTACGGGGATACCAAATAAGCCAACACTGCTTGGCTTTCTTGGTTACCCTAGGTCACTAACCCTCAGGGTTAATGAACAGTAGAAACGTTTAAGTGATTATATTACGTGATTATATTAGTAATCTTGGACGCAACACTCAAAGCCAAAATAAAGAAAACTTGTAAGTACAGTGTAGACTTTCAAGAAGAATGGAGGTGGGCGAGTTAAGCATCAATACCTTCCCCAGCCTCACTATATAACTGAGAGAATAAATAACACAGGTACTGCTGGAAAACATTAGGATGTGTTTCCTTTAGATATCTGCTGTCCAGTGTTCACCCATTAGCAAAATAGATACCTGGGTGTTAGTGGACTGGTGTGGGTCCATCCTGGGGACAAAACTGACCTAATTTGCGGGAAATGCTCAGCATAATAAGGGACTTTCTATTTAGTATATCATTGATGTCAGCTGGACCAATACCTTGTACCTGGAGTTTACCTGGACTGTACATGTACATGTACATGTACTTGTAGAATCATTAGACACCTGTGCAACATCTGCGTATCTTTACTAATAAAGATACCCATATGTTGCACATGTCTAATTCTTGTGTATTATATACCATTCATGTACAAAGATAATAGATAATGGAGGTATTTCAGTTCTGTGATCCTGTACAGGTATTATACAAGTCCAGTTCTATGTTAATATCCAAAATGGGGTATTTCCTCGTTCTTATAAACTCAGCCTCCTCTACCACAATGCAGAAATAGTGCAGGAAGATAATGAACTCTTATGCAGCAAAATATAAAATTGTGTATGTGAATGTATGTGTGTACTCACCCAAGTGTGGTTGCAAGGGTCGAGTCACAGCTCCTGGTGTATATTAATGTTTGTGCATAGGTATACATGTATTTATGCACACTTACGTATGTATACGTATACATGTGTATGTATTTTGTGTTGTATGCATATACGTATGAATATACGCACTCACCTAAGTGTGGTTGCAAGGGTCGAGTCATAGCTCCTGTCCCCGCCTCTTCACTGGTCGCTACTAGAATTTACACAATTTTATGCATGCATATGATTATATATATAAATATACTTACCTATATATGGTGTCAGGGGTCAATTCCTAGCTCCTGGCCCTACTCAATTTGCCAATTGCCAGATTCACTCCTAACCTCATGGGCTAGGAGTGACCACTCTTAGGCTGAAAATATACTTCCTGACATCTCTGTGGCACTTCTGTGCCTTCAGCTGTGTTCCTGTGTACCTGTTTCCCGCCTCTCAAACAGCCTGCCCCTGTACTCACCTAGTTGTGGTTGCAGGGGTCAAGTCACATTATTATTATTATTATAATTAAGGGGGAAGCGCTAAACCCGGAGGATTATACAGCGCCTGGGGGGGGGATGTGGAAGGCATTCAGGCTTAATTCGGGGAACTGGAGCACAGATCCAATTCCCTAAATCAAGAGCCCCTCACCAACATCAAGGAACCTTCCTTGAGGGGTAGGGTCAAGTCACAGCTCCAATCCCTTCCACTTGAGTATTTTGTATGATATATCACTATTAGTTCTTCATCCTCCAGTGTCGTTAGGTACATTTTTATTATTATTATAATCAAGGGGGAAGCTCTAAACCCGGAGGATTATACAGCGCCTGGGGGGGGGGATGTGGAAGGCATTCAGGCTTAATTCAGGGAACTGGAGCACAGATCCAATTCCCTAAATCAAGAGCCCCTCACCAACATCAAGGAACCTTCCTTGAGGGGTCGTTAGGTACAGGTACACATAAGTACAATTATCATACATATTGTAAATTACCCAGGATAAGTTAGTCTGAATTATCCTCCTCAGTCCTCACGTGACGAATATTTCTACTGATAGTGTCTGGCTTGATGGTACCTACTTACCCAGGGTCTTCTTTGTGCTGTAGATAAGATAAAACTTCGTTGGGGGGTTTATTAAACCCTTGGGGGAGGGTTAGGTACCCAGGATAACCCAGGGAAGCCAGTGTGTCACCAGGGGACTGGCTTATTTCCTCCCACCCCCGGGTTTTTTATTCTTGTCCCCCAGGATGCGACCCACACCTGTCACCTAACACTCAGGTACCTGCTTACTGCTAGGTGAACAGGGACAGCAGGTGTCTTAAGGTAACATACTAATGTTTATTTAGGTACATAAATAGTTACACAAATTATCATATACAGTAACGTGTAAATTACCTAAGATAACCCAAAATTTTCAGACAAAGTGACTTATTTCCATTAGGGATATTAAATAAATTTATTTAGGTACAGGTATACATAAGTACAATTATCATACATAGTAACATGTGTAAATTAACTAGGATAACCAAAAAAAAGGTCAAAGTGACTTTTTTGACTTACTAACCCGAAAATGCCTTTTTCTAGTCTTTTTTATGCCTACCAATGTTATATTACATGTAAGCTACATTATTTTTGCACCACATAAAGAAATAAAAATTAATATTTGCTTGGTGGATATCACAAATTGTTATATCATGATATAAAGGACCCCAATGGAAATAAGTCACTTTGCCTTTTTTTTTTTTTTGGTTATCCTGGGTTCTCTACACAAGTTTATTCAGGTATACACAAATATAGTTACATAAATTATCATATATAGCATATATGTAGAGAACCCACGATAACCCATAAAAAGTCAGAAAAAGCGACATTTCCATTGCTATATATGACAATTTATATAATTATATTTGTACATACCTGAATAAACTTACTTACGGTCAGTTATTTCCCTAACAAATTGTTATCTTGGGAGATATAAGCGAAAAATTATAATTTTTTTCTTACCAGGAGAGACATATCAAAGTCCATTAACAGAGTAGTGTCCAGGCCAGTCACAGTGAGTGTTAAGATTATGGTAGCAGCTCAGTTAAGTTATATTACGTTATTTTAGGTTTGATTACCTTATATTTGGTTAATTTTAACATTAATTGTGCATATAATATTATTTTTTTTTAGCAGGAGTGGCATGTTAATTAGCATTTGTGCCCAGGCCAGTCACAGTGAGTGTTAAGATTGTGGTAGCTGCTCAGTTATGTTATTTTAGGATTGATTTCGTTATATTTGGTTAATTTTCACACTGTTTGCACATATAATATTGTTTTTTTTAGCAGGAGTGGCATGTTAAAAGTAAAATAACATTTGTGTGTCCAGGACAGTCACAGTGAGTATTAAGATTGTAGTGGCAGGTGAGTTAGGTTAAGTTATAATACATTATTTTAGGACTGGTTTCGTTATATTTGGTTAATTTTCACACTGTTTGCACATATAATATTTTATTTTTTAGCAGGAATGGCATATCGAAGTCAATTAACAAAATATTGTGTCTAAGAGACAGTCAGAGTGAGTGTTGAAATTGTACTCACAGAGTAAGGTTAAGTTACATTACATTATTTTAGGATTGATTTCATTATGTTTCTTTGAGTTTCTTACTGTTTACACACACAGTGCTATCTCTGTTTAATACCCACTCAGCATTGTAAACTGCAAACTATATTTTATTGCTCAAATCTACCAGATATAAAGGACCCCAATGGAAATAAGTCACAACATTCAGTCATGACCAAATCTTCTAATGGTGCTGATTGACTTAGGTAAGATAACAGAGGATTTTGTTTGGATTTTTATTAAGAGGGCTAGCCACCCTGGATAACCTAATAAGGTCAGTGTGTCATTGAGGACTGTCTTATTTCCATTGGGTCCTTTAATCTTGTTTCCCAGGCTGTGACCACAGCACTTGGCTAACGCTCAGGTACCTATTACTGCTAGGTGAACAGGGGCAGCAGGTGTAAGGAAACATGCCTATGTTTCCACCCATGCTGGAGATTGAACCACAGACACTCAGTGTGTGAAGCAAGTGAGCTGTCAACTAAGCCACAGGACCTTACTTGGCTTTACTTGTAGGAATTAAATTTAGTGGACAAAGGGCTCTTTATCCAAGGAATTAACACTGCTTTTCTTTTCCTTACATCATATCTGATTGCCTCACATTCCCCAAGCACTGTAATAATAATAATAATAATAATAATAATAATAATAATAATAATAATAATAATAACAATAATTTTTTTTTTTTTCAACAAGTCGGCCGTCTCCCACCGAGGCAGGGTGACCCAAAAAAGAAAGAAAATCCCCAAAAAGAAAATACTTTCATCATCATTCAACACTTTCACCACACTCGCTCATTATCACTGTTTTGCAGAGGTGCTCAGAATACACAGTTTAGAAGCATATACATATAAAGATACACAACATATCCCTCCAAACTGCCAATATCCCAAACCCCTCCTTTAAAGTGCAGGCATTGTACTTCCCATTTCCAGGACTCAAGTCCGACTATATGAAAATAACCGGTTTCCCTGAATCCCTTCACTAAATATTACCCTGCTCACACTCCAACAGATCGTCAGGTCCCAAGTATCATTCGTCTCCATTCACTCCTATCTAACACGCACAATGGAAATAAGACAGACAGTCCTCGATGACGCACTGACTTTCTTGGATTATCCAGGGTGATTAACCCTCTGGGGTTAAAAATCTAAGCAAAATCTTATGCTATAATAAAAGCTTCCTCTGCAACCTCTGGAAATAAGTTAGTGTTTGAGATTATTAGGTTTTCCTCGGTTAATTTACACACAACTTACTACAACAGACAACTAACTAAATGTGTAAGGAACCCAAATGGAAACTTATTCACTAACTTAACTTGTCTTCTTCATTACCTGGATAGGGTTTCGGGGGTCAACACCCCTGCAGCTCGGTCTGAGACCAGGCCTCATGGTACATCAGGGTCTGGTTAACCAGGCTGTTACTGCTGGCTGTTGCCCGTATTAATGTCCGCAGTATTAAACTTATATTACTCTTCTATTTTACTTGTGAAAATAAAGGTTCTTATTTCTTAAATAATGTAATCATATAGAAATAATGTAGTATACTATATATCTTATAATGCAGTCACATAATAATTGGAATTTCTGAATTTTTTCTGGTTAAGACCAAAAATAATAATTTTAACAGAGTTTGTAGACAAGCCAGCATAAAGCAGTAATGTTTGTGAAATCAAAGTGAATGTTTCTATGTTTTTCCTCAGTAGAATAATCTGGTAAACTTGCAGTGTTTTGGAATGCACAGTATACGTACCGTATTTTACAGCGAGCTTGATGCTCTGGTGTCGAGGACGCCCCTCCAATCAGAATTGGGGGCGTCCTCGAGTTAACAGGCCAGTCATATAAGATTAAAATTTCAGTTGTTTAGTCAGACATTTACAATATTTTATGGCATTAACCCTTAAACGGTCCAAACGTATATATACATTCACTCTCGTAGCGCCCCAAATTTTTTGAGGAAAAAAAAAATCTTTTCTTTTAAAAGGAAAAAAGAGCATATGGTACCCAGGCATCCCCAATTATTTTAATATGGAACACAGTGAGTGCACACACCCATTCTCTCATGTCTAGGTGACTCAGGCTTTTTGTGGCAATGTTGAATGAATGACAAAGAAAACGTATACAGTGGACCCCCGGTTAACGATATTTTTTCACTCCAGAAGTATGTTCAGGTGCCAGTACAGACCGAATTTGTTCCCATAAGAAATATTGTGAAGTAGATTAGTCCATTTCAGACCCCCAAACATACATGTACAAACGCACTTACATAAATACACTTACATAATTGGTCACATTCAGAGGTAATCGTTATGCGGGGGTCCACTGTATATACGTTTGGGGCGCTATGCGCGTCAACGTATATATATGTTTGGACCGTTTAAGGGTTAAATACGCCTTTTTTTTCCCCCCAAAAAAATAGTCTCGAAAATTTACCTGGCATCTTGGAGACCGAAGTACAGTACGTACCTTTTTTTCCAAAATTATAGCCAGTCAGAATTACGGGGGGGGGGGGGGCGTCCTCGACACCAGAGCGTTTTGTTCACCATAAAATGTGGTATGTCTTTGGCATTATGGCAATGGGCACTGTCTTCCATGTAGTATATGAATGGCATCTAATGCTGACAAAATGAAGAATAAAACACATGTGCAACATCTGGGTTTCTTTATTTGTAGACATTTCATCATCCAGTGGCTTTATCAATACAATACAATACAAGGAAATAATGTGAAGAATGTAGAACTATATACAAAAAATGAGGTAATCAGTTGCTCAAGACTGTGGTACTCTTCATCGTAGTACAGTACAGTACAGTGCCTGTACTCTGGAGAAGGGGTGCGGATAGCACAGTTTGGAGGGGGCATCTGAGCTGTAATGTCAGCACACCCCTGACAAGAGAGTGATAGAGCGAGTAATGGCGAATGCGTTTTTTTCTTTCTTGGGTCGCCCTACCTCAGCGGGAGATGGCCGGTGTGTAGGAAAGTAGGAAAAACTCTCAAACCTCATCAGAGGTATTGTTTCTTTGCAGTTTAAATGAGCAGCGTGAGAGCCAACATGATGCGGGGAGTTATTGTACGTCAATTTGGAGGGGTGGAGCAAATGAAGATCGAGAACGACTTTCCAGTACCCTCCGTTGGTGATAAACAGGTAGTGTACAGGTGTTAATATTTAAAATACCAGTATGAGACAATATGACAAATTACAGTGTTTTCACTAAAGTCTTTTTTGCACAGATAACATGACTGTTTGGGTACAGTGAATCCTGTAATTCACTGGGAAGTTGGTTCTCAGACATGATGTAAATACAAGAGCTGCAGACATTAGGAAATTTCACATGCCATACTTTAGGTATTTTAAAAAAAAATTGGACCAATATTTATTAATATTGTTCTAATCTGCTTAACCCATAAACGGTCCAAACGTATATATACGTTTTTATCGCTAGTGCCCCAAACGTATATATACGTTTTATTTGTCATACATTCAACATTGCCACGATAAGCCTGAGTCGCCTAGACATGAGAGAATGGGTGTGCGCACTCACTGTGCGCCATATTAAAATAATTGAGGATGCCTGGGTACCATGTGCTCTTTGTTCATATTAAAAAAATTATTTTTTTTTTCTCAAAAAAGTTGGGGCACTATGGGAGAGAACGTATATATACGTTTGGACCGTTTAATATTGACATTCATAAGGTATACTCAGCACATTTTCTAGAGAGTCCTATTTTTTCAATTTAGATTTTGTTTGCTGATCAACAATTTAAGGGTTGTGTGCCAAGCAACAATTTAGGGTCGTGTACCGAGCAACAGTTTAATGGTCATGTGCCAAGCAATAGTTTAAGGGTCATGTGCCAAGCAACAATTTAAGGATCATGTGCCAAGCAACAATTTAAGGGTCGTGTACCGAGCAACAGTTGAAGGGCTGTGTGCCGAGCACAAAGACAAGGAGCATTAAAAAATTAATTAATGAAGTTATCCATGAAATGGCCTTCAGTAGGAATGCATTATTAAATCATGTGGACTACAATGCATATGACTTCTGGGGTTCAACTGTATTTACTAATTTACAGTTATTACTATACAGTGGACCCCCGCTTAACAATCACCTCCCAATGCGACCAATTATGTAAGTGTATTTATGTAAGTGCGTTTGTACGCGTATGTTTGGGGGTCTGAAATGAACTAATCTACTTCACAATATTCCTTATGGGAACAAATTCGGTCAGTACTGGCACCTGAACATACTTCTGGAATGAAAAAATATCGTTAACCGGGGGTCCACTGTATTCAGAAATGGAAGAAGAGTTTGTTCAGGGGTTAATAATCTAAGAGAGTCTAGTAGTATGATCTATTTCAAGTAGGGTCCTTTGTAAGGCCTCACCCAGAATGCAACTCAAAAAGTTGACTGATTCTAGGTATCTAGCCCCTTACTACGAGTCCAACTGGCACGTAAGGCTCTATCCACCAGTTCTACCATAGTGTGCCCACGGATGTTGCCTGCCTGGTTGTTAAAGACAACATGACATCTCTCTGCAGCATCAAGGAAACACACTGGCTGTTTCCCACCAAGGCAGGGTGACCTGAAAAAGAAGAAACACTTTCATCATCATTCATTCCATCACTGTCTTGCCAGAGGAGTGTCTGTACTACAGTTAAAAACTGCAACATATTTCCACCCCTCCTTCAGAGTACAGGCACTGTACTTCCCACCTCCAGGACTCGAAGTCCGGCTAACTAGTTTCCCTGAATCCCTTCATAAATGTTACCTTGCTCACACTCCAACAGCACGTCAAGTCATTAAAGCTATTTGCCTCCACTCCTATCTAACATGCTCATGAACTCACACAATACTTGCATATACGTGTATTTATTGCCCAAGTGCTTTGCCTCTGACCAGATCTACCTGGAGTCCATTACCTTTGTACCTTGTTTAGCTATCAAAACTTTGGGGCCCAGCCCCTGGACCCATTATGTACCTCTGTAATCCTTTGACTACCGCCCACAGGATGGGTATGGGGTGCATAATAATCATATTAAACTCAAACTGTACATCAGCCCTTTTTCACTCCAACGCAGAGGAGACTTATGCTGCAGATAATGGAAGAAGTGGAGAGGTAATTTAAGATGCTCAGTTCCTTAGCCTTGAAGAGTTCACAAACAGTGTTCTCTCTCTTAGCTGTGATTGAAAGAGTTCAATCTTTTGCCCTTGACCTGTCTCAGTTCTCTAATGATCAAAATCAAAATTTTTATTTTTTTGTATAGTATACAATGTGTAGTTTACATGTAATGAAATACAGTGGACCCCCGCTTTACGATCAGCTCCCAGTGCGACCAATTATGTAAAAGTGTATTTATGTAAGTGCGTTTGTACGTGTATGTTTGGAGGTCTGAAATTGACTAATCTAATTCACAATATACCTTATGGGAACAAATTCGTTCAGTACTGGCACCTGAACATACTTCTGGAATGAAATAATATCGTAAACTGGGGGTCCACTGTATTGTTAAACACATGATGTTGGGAGAATTACCCACAATATGTTAGGTAAAAGGCGGCTAATGTGATATTTTTATTGTGGCAACGTTTCACTCTCCAGGAGCTTTGTTAAGTTGTTACGGCTTGAAAGTGCCTGGAGAGCGAAATGTTGCCACAATAAAAATGTCATATTAGCTGCACTTGTGTCCTTTTACCTAACATATCTCAGTCCTGTTGTACATGTGTCTTACTCATCAATTTATCAGTACTATTGCATATTATTTTTTTTCCAACAAGCTGGGCGTGTCCCACCCAGGCAGGGTGACCTAATAAGAAAAACAAAAGTTTTTCCCTTTAAATTTAGTAATCATATTATTAATGTACACAAAAAATGTAAAGATATTTTCATGCACATGTTAAAGAAATCACGGAATGGCAAGCCATGCCATGGGTTTAAACCCCATCCATTCTGTGATTTGTTTGAGTTGTGTTACTCTCGACGCTGGTGAGAGGTTCTTGATGTAGAGAATTGGATCTGTGCTCCAGTTCCCTGAATTAAGCCTGAATGCCTTCCACATCACCCCCCCCCCTTCCATAGGTGCTGTATAATCCTACAGGCTTAGCGCTTCCCCCTTGATTATAATAATTGAGTCGTGTTATTATGATTTCGTGAGACATGTGATAATGTTTTGAAGGTTGTGAATGAGTTGCAAGTCGCTTTGGCAATTCATAATGAAGATTTGAGAATGTTTACAATATTTTCAGGTCTTATTCAAAGTACATGCTTCAGGAATAAACCCAGTAGACACGTACATCCGACAAGCTGCATTCATGTTCCTGCCTGAGCTGCCATATATCCCAGGAATAGATGGAGCAGGTGTAGTGGAGGCAGTAGGCAAGGATGTTACTCTTTTCAAGGTAAAAATTCTGAATCATGAGATCTGAGAGGCATCACAAGAACAGATTTTAGCATGCCAGCGACAAGGAGTAACATTAATAAATTACTGGCAAGGTCAGCTCTCTTATAAAGCTTCTATATACAGTGATTTTTTTTGTAAATGCAGTTGAAAGCGTACTTCAGAATTAGAATAGCATATACAGTGGACCCCCGGTTAACGATATTTTTTCACTCCAGAAGTATGTTCAGGTGCCAGTACTGACCGAATTTGTTCCCATAAGGAATATTGTGAAGTAGATTAGTCCATTTCAGACCCCCAAACATACACGTACAAACGCACTTACATAAATACACTTACATAATTGGTCGCATTCGGAGGTGATCGTTATGCGGGGGTCCACTGTACTATGAAGGCTTTTCCACATGCTACTCAGTTTTGGAAGTAATTTTTCAGTCTTATTTAAAAAAAAATTGCACTATGTAGAAAATTTACAAGAGAGCTGATTTTAAGTCCAATTCTGGAGCTTTTTTTTTTTTTTCGTTTGTTTGTTTTTCAGTATTTATGGTAATAATGTCAGACAAATATAACCTCTAACAGGTTTTAATGCAACACTTGAAGGGGAGCCTGAATTAGCTTTTAATAATCTATACTTAAAGAGTTAGTATATTTTTGCTTTATCCTGGTTATAATAATAATATAATAATAATCTGTATTTCTACAAGTACATGATACATCTTATACAGACTATATCTGACTGACATCAGTGACATACTATATAGAAAGCCCCTGGTTATGCAGAGCATTTCAGGCAAATTAGGTTAATTTTTTCCTCAGGATGCCACCCACACCAGTTGACTAATACCCAAGTACCTATTTCTGCTAGGTGAACATGGACAGAGGTGTCTTATGGAAATATAATAATAATATCCAGGTAGTAGGTTGGTAGACAGCAACCACCCAGGGAAGTACTACCGTCCTGCCAGATGACTGTGAAACAAAAACCTGTAACTGTTTTGCATGATGGTAGGATTGCTGGTTTCTTTTTCTGTCTCATAAACACGCTAAGATAACAGGGATATCTTGCTACTCCTACTTACACTTTGGTCACACTTCACAGACACGCACATGCATATATATATATACATACATCTAGGTTTTTCTCCCTTTTTTTAAATAGCTCTTGTTCTTTTTTATTTCTTTATTGTCCATGGGGAAGTGGAAAAGAATCTTTCCCCGTAAGCCATGCGTGTCGTATGAGGCGACTAAAATGCCCGGGGGCAATGGGCTAGTAACCCCTTCTCCTGTAAACAATTTCTAAAAAAGAGAAGAAGAAAAACTTTATAAAACTGGGTTTGCTTAAAGTGCGTGGATGTGTGCGGATGACAAGAAACAGATGATTGCTGATGTTATGAATGAAAAGAAGTTGGATGTCCTGGCCCTAAGCGAAACAAAGCTGAAGGGGTAGGAGAGTTTTAGTGGGGGAAATAAATGGGATTAAATCTGGAGTATCTGAGAGAGTTAGAGCAAAGGAAAGGGGGAGCAGTAATGTTAAATGACAGTTATGGAAGGAAGAAAAGAGAATATGAATGTGTAAATCAAGAATTATGTGGATTAAAGTAAAGGTTGGGATGCGAGAAGTGGGTCATAATAAGCGTGTATGCACCTGGAGAAGAAGGAATGCAGAGGAGGAGAGGGGAGGGGGGAGGGTTGGGGGGAGATTTAAGTGAATGTATAGGAGCCCTTTGACCAGTGAGAGAGTAATTGTGGTAGGGGACTTGAAGCTAAAGTAGGAAAACGTTTTAGGAGGAGTGTGTAGGTATGTTTGGGGCCAGGTGTAAATGAAATGGGAAGCCCTTTGAATTGAATCTTTGATAGAAAGGTGTTTAGTTATTAGTAATACATATTTTAAGAAAAAGAGGATAAATAATATACACGATATGATGTAGGGCGAAATGGACAGTAGTTTTGTTGGAATTAAGATTGTAGATAAAAACTGTTGAGTAGAACTCAGGATGTACATAGTTTATATAGGGGCCACAATATATCAGATCACTTTTCTAGTTGTAGCTACACTGAATCAAAGGTAGATGGGATCAAGGAGAATGGGAGAAGCGATCAGGAAGAGAGAGGTGAAGGTTTATAAACTAGAAAAGAGGAGGCAGTTAGGGTAAGATATAAACAGCTATTGGAGGATGATGGGCTAATGAGAGCATAGCAATGGGGTCGAAGAGTATGGGGTTAGTTTAAAAATGTATGTTAGAGGTTCAGCAGAAGTTTGTGGTTTACAGGAAAGTGGAGCAGGAGAAGAGGAGCGAGTGGTGGAATGATGATTGTAAAGAGATTATTAAGGATAAAAAAGGTAGCATATGAGAAGTTTTTACAAAGTAGAGATAAGTGATGCAAGAGGGAAAGTATATGGAGAAAAAGAGAGAATTAAGAGAGTGGTGAAGCAATGTAAAAAGAGAGCAAATGAGAGAGTGGGTGAGATGTTTATCAACAAATTTTGTGAAAATAAGAAAAAGTTTTGAGTGAGATTAACAAGTTAAGAAAGCCTAGAGAACAAATGGATTTGTACAGTTTAAAAATAGAGAGAGAGAGTTATTAAATGGAGAGTTAGAGATTGGGAAGATGGAAGGAATATTTTGAGGAATTGATAAATGTTTATGAAGATAGGGAAGGCTGTTGATTTCGTGTTATAGGGCAAGGAGGAATAACATCTTGTAGGAGTGAGGAAGAGCCAGTTGTGAGTGTGGGGAAGTTCGTGATGCAGTAGGTAAAAATGAAAAGGGGGTAAGGCAGCCGGATTGATGGGATAAAGATAGAAAATGTTAAAAGCATGTGGGGATATAGTTTTGGAGTGGTTGGGCAATTATATAATAATGTATGGAAGAAGGTAAGGTGCCTAGGGATTGGGCAGAGAGCATGCATAGTATCCTTTGTATAAAGGCAAGGGGATAAAAACAGTGCAAAAATTATAGGGGATAAGTCTGTTGAGTGTACCTGGTAAAGTGTAAGGTAGAGTTGATAATGAAAGAATTAAGAGTAAGAACGGAGAATAGGAATAGCAGATGAACAAGTAGGCTTTAGGAATGTAGGGGGTGTGTGGACCAGGTTTTACAGTGAAACATAATAAGTTAACAGTATTTAGATAAGGCTAAAGAGTCTTTGTGGCATTTATGGATTTGGAAAAGGCGTATGATAGGGTTGATAGGGGGGCAATGTGGCAGATGTTGCAAGTGTATGGTGGTAGGAGGTAGGTTTACTGAAGCAGTGAAGAGTTTTTACGAGTATAGTGATGTCTCAAGAAAGTATGTAGGAAGAGGGATTTTTTTCCCAGTAAAAGTAGGCCTTAGACAAGGATGTGTGTGTCACCGTGGTTGTATTAATATATTTATAGATGGGGTTGTAAGAGAAGTAAATGCGATGGTCCTTGGGCAGAGCGTGGAGTAAAAAGATAAAGAATCACACACAAAGTGGGAGTGTCACAGCTGCTCTTTGCTGAGACAACTGTGCTACTTGGTAGATTCTGAAGAGAAGTTGCATGAGATTGTGATGAATTTTGGTAGGGTGAGCAAAAGAAGAAAATTAAAGGTGAATACAGGAAAGAGTAAGGTTATGAGGATAACAAAAAGATTAGGTGATGAAAGATTGAAATCAGATTGGAGTTAGAGAGTAAGGGAGGAGGTGAACTGATTCAGATATTGGGAGTGACGTGTCAGCATGATGGGTCTATGAAAGATTATGGTGAATCCTAGAATTGATGGAGGAAAAAGATGAGTGGTGCACTTAGGAGTCTGTGGAGACAAAGAACTTTGTCCTTGGAGGCAAAGAGGGAATGATTGAGAGTATAGTTTTAACCAACGCTCATAATATGGTTTGTGAACCGTGGGTGATGAATGTTGCAGCTAGGAGAAGGCGTGGAGGCAGTGGAGATGTAAGTCAGAGGGCAAGGTGTGTGTGAATATATATAGTGCAGAGAATTCGGTAGTTGGGAAGTTAGTAGGAGGTGCGGGATTACCAAAACTGTGGTCGCAGAGGCGAGGAAGGGTTGTCGAGGTGGTTCGGACATGTAGAGAGAATGGAGCGAACAGAATGACTTCAAGAGTGTATCAGATCTGTAGAGGAAGGAAGGCGGGTTAGGGTCGGCCTAGGAAGGTTGGAGGAGGGGGTAAAGGAGGTTTTGTGTGGCGAGGGCTTGGACTTCCAGCAGGCATGCGTGAGCGTGTTTGATAGGAGTGAATGGAGACAAATGGTTGTTTAAATACTTGACGGTGCCTGTTGTGAAGTGTGAGCAAAGTACCATTTATGAAGGGATTCAGGGAAACGCGAGGCCGGACTTGAGTCCTGGAGACGGGAAGTACATGCCTGCACTCTGAAGGATGGGTGTTAATTTGCAGTTTATAAACTTGTAGTGTAAAGCACCCTTCTGGCAAGACAGTGATGGATGAATGATGGTGAAAGTTTTTCTTTATTTCGGGCCACCCAGCCTTGGGTGGGAATCGTCCTGGTGTTGATAAAAAAAAATCTTATTGGGTGGTAAATGCAGCCACCGAGGAGACGGTTTGGAGGCAGTGAGATGTCCTGTCTAAGGGCAATGTGTGATGTAAAATATTACGCAGAAAATTCGTAGTGTGGGAAATTAGGAGAAGGTGTTGAGTTTAATAAAAGCATTAGTCAGAGGGCAGAAGAGGGGTATGTTTGAGGTGGTTTGGTCAGTTAGGGAGAATGATGCAAAGTAGAATGACATGGAAAGCATATAATCTATAGGGGAAGAAAAGGGTAGGGGTCGTCCTCGAAAGGGGGGGGGTATAAAGGGGTTAAAGGAGGTTTTGTGGGCGAGGGGCTTGGACTTCCAGCAAGCGTGGCATGAGCGTGTTAGATAGGAGTGAATGGAGACGAATGATACTTGGGACCTGACGATCTGTTGGAGTGTGAGCAGGGTAATATTTAGTGAAGGGATTCAGGGAAACCGGTTATTTTCATATAGTCGGACTTGGTCCTGGAAATGGGAAGTACAATGCCTGCACTTTAAAGGAGGGGTTTGGGATATTGGCAGTTTGGAGGGATATGTTGTGTATCTTTATACGTATATGCTTCTAAACTGTTGTATTCTGAGCACCTCTGCAAAAGCAGTGATAATGTGTGAGTGTGGTGAAAGTGTTGAATGATGATGAAAGTATTTTCTTTTTGGGGATTTTCTTTCTTTTTTGGGTCACCCTGCCTCGGTGGGAGACGACCGACTTGTTGAAAAAAAAAAAAAAAAAATCTTTATTTACTACAAGTACAGTGGAACCTCAAATATCGAACTTTCTTCGGTCCAGAAGTCTGTTCGAGTGCCTTTACCGAATGAATTTATTCCCATCAGGAATAATGTAAATTAGATTAGTCCATTTCAGACCCTCAAAAATACACTTATAAAAGCACTTACAAAAATACACTTACATAATTGGTTGTGTTGGGAGCAGTTCGATTTTTGAGGTTCCACTGTACATGTACAAGGTATACAGGCCTAGCTGACAACAATGACATACTACTATATAGAAAGTTCCTTGTTATGCTCCGCTTTTCGGGCAAATTAGGTCAGTGTCCCAGGATGCGACCTACACCAGTCGACTAAAACCCAGGTACCCATTTTACTGATGGGGAACATAGACAGTAGGTGGAAAGAAACACGTCCAATGTTTCTACTCTGGCTGGGAATCAAACCCAGGCCCTCGCCGTGTGAAGCGAGAGCGTTAACCACCAGGCCACCAGAGCCAAATGTTTCCACCCATATCAGGGGGTGTTGCAGTAGGAGAGTAATGTGGGTGGGATGTCAGTGTATTGGCCGAAAGATGGCGATTGAATGAATGTTGTGGAATGAGTAAGTTTATTTTAGGTACAGGTACACATATATACAATTTTCATACATGGTTTCACATATGCAAAACAACCACTGTAAAAAAATTGTAAACTTCCAAGCACTTTCATGACTTCTCACAGGTCCTTGATAATGTGAGAAATTACAAAAGCACTTGTAAGTTTACTATTTTTTCACAGTGGTTGTTTTGTATATTGTGATATCACCTGTTTACTGTGATCTTATTGCATAGTTTAACATACAGTGGCACCTCGGGATACGAACAGCTCAAAATTCGAACAATTATGTAAGTGTAGTTATGTAAGTGCTTTTGTAAGTGTATTTCTGGGGGTCTGAAATGGATTAATCTAATTTACATTATTCTTAATGGGAACAAATTCGTTCAGTATTGGCACTCAAACAGCCTTCTGGAACGAATTAAGTTCGTATCCCGAGGTACCACTGTATGTGTAAATTACTTAGGAATGTGTTTTCCTCTGTGGGTCGTCCTGCTTAGGTGGGAGGTGGCCATTGAGTGGGAAAAACAATATTGTAATGTTATTTCCTCCATAGGAAGTGAAAAAGAATTCTTCCTCCATAAACCATGCATGTCATAAGAGGTGACTAAAATCCCAAGAGCAAGGGGATAGTAACCCCTTCTCCTGTATAAATTACTAAATTTAAAAAGGAAAAACCTTTGTTTTTCTTTTTAGGTCTCCCTACCTCCGTGGGCTATACATAGTTGGTGTGTCGAAAAATAAAAATGTTATTTCGGATATTTTCTAGAGATGATGACATCTCATTGAGTTTTGTACCTTCAGATGTTGCATTAAATCTGGTTATATTTTACCGATAACTGTAAATATCACGAGCTCAAGTTAGGCCACAAAATCTGTTCTTGTAGATGGCTCTCATGTTCGAGGAAGGTCTTAACATATTTACCCCCATGTTAACAGGTGCTGATTAAAGTGCACACCAGCGGAGTAAACCCAGTTGATACGTACATTCGTGGTGGGCAGTATGCCAAGCTGCCCGAGTTACCTCATATTCCAGGTAGAGATGCAGCTGGCATGGTCCACAGTATTGGGTCTCGTGTCACTAAATTCAAGGTGTGTTTCTAGTTGCAACTTTTAACATGTTATTGGCAGGATTTTCAGGGTGACCACTTTTAAATCCTTTCCCAAACTTGTTAAAAGTACAGAAAGTCATCTCTGCACTTTATTGTAATGTAGTATAATTTATTAAAAATAGTAATAATAAATCTTTATTTCTACAAGTCCATGTACAATGTATACAGACCATAGTTGACATCAGTGACATACTATATAGAAAGCCCCTTGTTATGCAGAGCATTTCAGGCAAATGAGGTCAATTTTGCCCCCAGGATGCAACCCACACCAGTTGACTAACACCCAGGTGCCTATTTTACTGCTAGGTGAACAGGGACAGTAGGTATCTTAAGGAAACACATCCTAATGTTTTCACCCGTACCGGGGATCGAACCCTGAACCTCATTGTTTGAGCCGAGTGCTCTAGCAGTAGAGCTTCGGGGACACCGCATTGATACAGTACAAAACGATGTTATTGAATCTGAGTAAACAACTTGTTTGTGTAAACAGAAAGATGTTATGTGATGTAAATGGTTTAGAAAACTGACAAGTTGAAGAATGAGACACATGTGCAACATTTGGGAATCGTTATATTAAAAAATATTTCACCAGCCAGTGGCTTCTTCAGTCCAGTACAGAGAAGAGGACCCCAACAAAGGGTCAAAACGTACAGACCAATTAATTTTCCGAGTTTGTCACCACGTGGGTTATTATTGAGCATTGACAAGTATTCATTACAATTTATTCATAGCAGATAATGCTTTCAGTTGCCCAAATTAGTTTTTTGAGTTTTTGTACTGAAATGAACTCAAGTTTGTGAATTTAATGTCATCTAATGTATGACATAGTAGCCATAAAGTCAACTCATGTCAACTGATGTGAAAGATAGTATGTATAAACTTGCTAGACTATAACCCAACTAATTATTTCTTATAACCATGTACAATGATATGCCCTTGTAGTCTAAAGTTAGGCTTAAGCTTGCTCAAAATACTCTGTATAACCATGGGCTTTTGACATGCTCTCGAGTGTCACCCATTTCTGTATAAACATTGTATCATGTGGAAATAAACTTGTACAGGTGCTCCTTGACTTACAATGGGTTTACGTTCTGATGAACCCATCGTAAGTTGAAAATATCGTAAGTTGATTATGAATATGATATGCTAAATAAATAAGTAAATAAATACTGTCACTGAGTAAGTAAATAAACAATTACTGTAACTAATTAAATACAGCCTCTCCTCACTTAGCAGAGTACTCATTTACCGACGACTTGGACTTACGACGGGCTCTCTGACTAGTATGCATACGTAAATAATGCATATTAGAGCGGATTTCCTCTATTCTGTTTATTACAATATACAGTACATTACTATATAAACATTTAAAAATATACTAAAAATGTTATAAATAGTGCAATGGTGACAGTAAAACAATATCAGGGATGGTTGACATAAACCCACTACCATTACAGTATGCTCCTTGTTTAGCGACGAATTCGTTTACCAACGTGGTCTTAGGAACAGAACTCCCTCGTTCAGTGAGGAGAGGCACTACCAGTATTGAAGAGTAAATAAATGAATACAAGCTTATCCCATCAATAAATGTACAATACTGTACAGTTCTGTATGTGCTTTGCTATTGCACCATCATAAAGTCGAAATATCGTAAGCCGAACCATCGTAAAGTGAGGAGCATCTGTATTTGTATGTGTTGGCGGCATACGAATTTGTAATCTATCATTTGTTGTTCCCCACAGCCTGGAGATCGAGTCTTCTCATCGTACAACTCACAGTTTGGAACCTTGGCTGAATTCACCTGTGCGGACGAGTCGCGAGTTTTTCCTCTAGATGAGAAGCTGACTTTTCTCCAGGGTGCTGGCCTAGGCATCCCGTACTTCACTGCCTACCGGGCTTTGTTCCAAAAGTAAGTACTGTACAGTAAATCCTGGATGAAATGCACTAATGGGGGGAGGGGATAGGTAATGGCATATGTGGTGGATAGAGAAAGTGTTTGTGCCATGATTGTAACAATAACAGACAATTCCATGAATGAAAAACTCTCTATTGTTTCTGATTGACTGACTCATCAAATTTTCTTCTATAATTTCAAAGCTCATAAGTAGAGATGGGACAGTGCTAAAATTTTTGTCGATTCTGATGCTCAGTTTTAGGCCGACATCATTCCCGTCACAGATACTTTTTCAGTATTTTTTATTTTTAAAAATTATAATAGCTATGTTCAGTATGGCATGCTTATTACTTACCAATAATAGGCTTTAAATGACCTAGGAAGGCTCAATATCAAATATTTTAATTTCTCCGAGATGCCAGCATCATTACTCGTTATTAATTACAGGCGTGCCTCTGGCAAGACAGTGATGGAGTGAATATTGATGAAAGTGTTTCTTCTTTTTTGGGTCACCCTGCCTTGGTGGGAAATGGTTGATGTGTTAATAAAAAAAATTACATGCAGCCCCTGTGAGGCCTACAAATTGAAAAACCAAATGAGGAAATAAAATTTCCGAATCTCTCTTCGTATATTGTGATCTGATGAAGACATAACAAGAAATCAGTTACAAAAATGAATGTCTGAATAATTTCCAGTTATATTATACAGCCTTTCCTCATTTAGCGACGTATTCGTTTACGGACGACTCGGACATACAACGGGCTCTCTGACCAGTATGCCTACCTAAGTAATGTATATTAGAGCTGATTTTCTCTATTCTCTTTATTACAATATACAGTACACTACTGTATAAACATTTAAAAATACACCTACCATCCAACTTACGACCTGCTCGACTTACGACCACTCGACTTACGACCATGTTTTTATGCTAAATTTCTGGGAAATAAACAACTATTTGTGTTGTACACAGTGTTTATCCTAAACCTTACAGTATAAAATACAGTACTAACAACATAAAAAGTAAAGTAAAACATGAAATACCAAAATAAAACAATAAAATAAAGTCATTAACAAAAATGCTTTGTTGATATTCAGTAGTAAAGTTCGACTTACAACCATTTCGACTTACGACCGGTTTCTCGGAACCGAACTTGGTCGTAAGTCGGATGGTAGGTGTATACCAAAAATGTTATAAATGGTGCAAAGGTGACACTAAAACAATATCAAAGATGGTTGGCACAAACCCACTACCATTATAGCATGCTCCTCACTTAGTGACAAATTCGTTTACCAACATGGTCTTAGAAACAGAACTCTGTCGTTAAGTGAAGAGAGGCTGTATTTTAAATGAAAAAAATGAAAACTTAATAAAAAAAATTGAAAACGAAAAAAATTACATTAATAAATTTTACTTGCAAATTAAAAATTATATTTTAGAAATTGAACAACAACCTCTTTCCATTATTACACTGAATTAACTGACACATTTTCATTATACAGTTTAAGGCTTTTTAGACTCTGGAGAAACACATGGGCCGCAGGGGCGTTGATCCCTGGAATACCCTCCAGGTAGACCCTCCAGGCAGACCTGTAATAATAAACAAAGCGTATACAGTACATACATTACTCTAGTAGCTAAAATTAAATATTCTCAAATTGAAATTGAAGAACATGGATCCCAATGAAAATTACAAGGACCCCAATGGAAATTACAGGGACCCCATAGAAATAACAAGGATCTCAATGGAAATATATCACTTTGTCTGACTTTTTTGGGGGTTATTCTGGGTAATTTACACATATGTTACTATGTATGATAATTGTACTTATGTGTACCTGTACCTAAATAAATTCACTACTTGCTAAGATCAACATCTACCCATAATTGGATGTTAGTTTGTTGTTATGAGGAGAGAAGTTGTTTCCTCAAGTTCCGAACAATCTTTCATTCTGTTGAATAGTCAGTCAAATAATAATAATAATAATAATAATAATAATTTTATTTCAGCACGATACATGTTTGTACAATGGCAGTTGACCCTCGAGTTTCATCATCTCTCTTCTGTATGTAAAACTATAGTTATTCTCTATAAAATGTATTTTTTGTTAATATTTCCCATGAGAAATAATGTAAATTCAATTAATCCATTCCAGACACCCAAAAGTATCAACAAAAAAAAAAAAAACATTTTATAGAGAATAAATATAATTTTACATTCAGAAAAGGTATGATGAAATTCGAGGGTCCAAAAACATCTTTATTTACAGAGCATTTTGGGCAAACTTAAGACTAATGTAATTAAGACTACAGTGGCATTAATTATTATTTGCTTATATATAAGGACATTAAAGGTATACATACAACAAATTTGGGCAATACGAATAATACACACAAGCAAACAAGTACAGTGGACCCCCGGTTTACGATATTATTTCATTCCAGAAGTATGTTCAGGTGCCAGTACTGACCGAATTTGTTCCCATAAGGAATATTGTGAATTAGATTAGTCCATTTCAGACCCCCAAACATACACATACAAACGCACTTACATAAATACACTTACATAATTGGTCGCATTGGGAGCTGATCGTAAACCGGGGGTCCACTGTATTTCTAAAAAATTGTAAATTGATGAATCTCGGTGAAATTGATTACTCTTGTTTGCCCTTAAAATTAACAGAGCCCATGCCAAGAAGGGTGAGCGAGTGTTGGTCCATGGAGCGAGTGGCGCTGTTGGTCTGGCAGCCGTGCAGATAGGCAAGGCTCATGGTATGTTCCCCTGACTCATATGCAGTATTATGATTTGTGCACTCTTTTTATCAGTCATAATTTTGTAAAAAAAATCATGTGTGTATCACAGAACTCATGTTTAATTTTTCAAGTTTGAGAGTGTGTAATTTATATGATTTTGCTTTTTGTTGAATTTTTTGGAGATTAAGACTGAAACACTGCTTGTCACTATACATCACTGATAAAACCTAGACATTGTGTGTTCATCTCTTTTATCATCTTTACCCTGTTTTCCACATTCATGGGATGTGGCAGTGCTTAATCTGTAACAAAAATGAAATGAAAATTTTGCAAACATTTTTAGAAGTAACAGTTGGATGGATGGGTCTGTTGAATGTTTAAAAAAAGGCACTTATTGTGAAAAGACAAATGCTCTGCATAACAAGGGGCTTTCTGTATAATATGCCATTGATGTCATCTATGCCTGTATACCTTACACATGTAAATGAAGAAATAATTATTATTATTATTATTATTATTATTATTATTATTGTTATTATTATCCTTTTTCAGGGATGTATGTAGCTGGAACGGCTGGCACCCAGGAAGGCTTGGATCTGGTAACACAGTTCGGTGCGGATGAGGTGTTTAACCACCGTGATAAGAACTACATCTCTCAGATTCAAAGTGGAGAAAAGTTTGATGTCATTCTTGAGATGCTGGCCAATGTCAACCTTGGCAAGGACCTCACACTGGTGAAGCCACAGGGACGGACTATTGTGAGTGACGTTCTTACATTCTTCAGCAGGAGGGAGGAGGGAGGCTATGTGATACTGGTGAAGGGCTCTAGATCCACTAATATTTTATTATTGTTGATTATTGATTGATTATTGTTGATTACTGTAGATTATTATTGAATATTTTATTGAATGTTTTATTTTTACTGTTGTATTCTGAGCACCTCTGCAAAAACAGTGATAATGTGTGAGTGAGGTGAAAGTGTTGAATGATGATGAAAGTATTTTCTTTTTTGGGATTTTCTTTCTTTTTTGGGTCACCCTGCCTCGGTGGGAGACGGCCGACTCGTTGAAAAAAAAAAAATTACTGTTAATGATTATTGAGCTATCTCCCCTTCATTGGATCAAGCCTGATTATTTTCCATGTTTATCTCACCACCTTGAATACAATAATAATAATAATTCTCTTTAATAATAATAATAATGATATAAATAATAATATTTATTTCAGCATGATACAATGTTTGTACAGAGATGGGTGACATTTAGATGTGCATACAGAAAGCCCATTGTCATGCAGAGTATTTTGGGAAAACTTAAGACTAAAATGGCAATAATTAATTAATTGCTTATATATATGGTCTCCAAGAATTCATACACAATAAATTTAGGAATTACCAGCATAGTTTACCCCCTTCAGGTAATTGGATCTCGTGGCACTGTTTCTGTCGACCCAAGGAACCTCATGATAACTGAGAGCTCTGTGATTGGCATGGCGCTCGCTACTGCTCCACCTGTACGTTCTGACTTTGGTTTTTTAACTGTAACTTAACCTTTTAACACTTGTTCAACAACTGCAATGTTTATAGAAAGATTTACAGTCGAACTCCAGACTTGATATGTCTCGTAATCCAGGTGATTTGATTATGCTGTACAGCGTTTTTACTGAAGGTCATTCAATAATAATAATAGAGGTCATTCAATAATAATAATAATAAAAACAATATGCTGCAGTTTTTTTTTAACTCAAGTGTAGGCACACCTCTGATAATTCAGTAATGGAGTGAGTGATGATGAAAGTGTTTCTTCTTTTTTGGGTCACTCTGCCTCGGTGGGAAATGGTGAATGTATTAATAAAAAAAAATAATAAATTTATTTCTTTTCTGCAGTATACAGATGTAGTTTACATGTAATAAAATAGTGTTAGGCACAAAAGAAATCTACTACAATGCAGTGCATTCCAGGCAGACTAATACTAATGCTTACACACTACCTAGACCTAGACATGGATTATTAAGTAAGAGTTCTTAAATATACAAAAAAAGAGAGGTAGCTAAATTCATTGGTTATTCATGGGTTAACTCTGCACACTGTATCACTAATACAGTGGACCCCCAGTTAACAATATTTTTTCATTCCAGAAGTATGTTCAGGTGCCAGTACTGACCGAATTTGTTCCCATAAGGAATACTGTGAAGTAGATTAGTCCATTTCAGACCCCCAAACATACACGCACAAACGCACTTACATAAATACACTTACATAATTGGTCGCATTGGGAGGTGATCGTTCAGCGGGGGTCCACTGTATATATTTTTTAACACGTCGGCCATCTCCCACTGAGGCAGGGTGACCCCAAAAAATAAAAAGAAACAGTTTCAAGTTTTTCTTTTTATTAATTTATTCAAGAAAAGAGGTTACTAGCCCCTTTCTGCTCCATTTTAGTCACCTCTTATGACATGCATGGCTTACAGAGGAAGGATTCTTCTCCACATCCCCATGAAGAACTTACAATGATATTGTCACATCTCCCCCCAAGGCAGAGTAACCCAAAAGAGAAAACACATTCATTGTCATTCATCCAATCAGTGTCTTGCCAGATGCATCCTGACATCACAGTTGAGATGACCCTCTGAACTGCAGCATCCTTTAGGGGAAATGAGAATGTTGCAGTTCAGGACTCAGGTCCTGCTGACCAGTTTCCTTGAATCCCTTCATAAATATTACCTTTATTTATTTTGATTTGAAGGTGCTCTTGCTACTGTAGAATTATTGTTTACTTTGTCCTAAGTTGCTTACTTTATTCTCCACCCACCGTAGGACGAATGGGATGAGTTGACGGCCGGAGTGGTCAAAGGTGTGAAGGCTGGGTGGGTGAAGCCAGTCGTGGACAAGGTTTATACTTTAGAGGAGGTAAGCTAGTGTATAATCCCATGAGATGAAGATCACTTCTATTTCTGTTAGTCTTTTATCCTTTTGCTAGTTGACCTATTGATCTTTTTGCTAGTTGACCTGTTGATTTTTTTGTTAGTTGACCAATTGATCTTTTTTGCTAGTTGACTAGCTGAGCTTTTTTCCCAGTTGACTAGTTGAATCTTTTTGCTAGTTGGCCAGTTGATCTTTTTGCTAGTTGACTAGTTCATTTTTTTACTGTTTGACCACTGATCATGGCCCAGTCAGAGACAGGGCCCTTGATAATGGCCTGGTCTCTTGACTAAGCCACTGACTGCAAGTCATGAAGCATGAGGTACGGGCCTCATGCTTCATGACTCGCAGGGGTTTAGCACTTCATGAAATACAATCTGGTCTTCATCTTTGCTATGTTGTTTAAAGAAGCTTCAGACTGGTGATACAGAATTATTTATAATCATTTTAGAAAAACCAACATAGCCACCTTGCCACAACGCTGTTTCCTATGCATAAAATATAAACCATTTGCTCTGTGTTGCTCCAGGCTGATATAAACATAAACCACTAATAAACCAATGTTATCATCATGCCACAATGTTGGTTTTCCCGAGTCCTTGATTATAAACCACTATCACCGTGTTTATTTGACTGGCCCGTTGAGGGAGGTTCCTTGTTGCTCATGAGGGGCTCTTGATTCAAGGGATTGGATCTGCCCTTCCTTGAATCAAACTTGAATGTCTCCCATTCCCCTGAGTTCTGAATAATCCCAATAGGTTTATTGCTCCTCCCATACATGTAATTCTGTGTTACTTTTAGAGAACATGTGTTCCAATTAGGTCTGCACTACTCCTTGTACTGAAGGATCCAGGTTACATTTTCACCACTCCTTGTACTGAAGGATCCAGGTTACATTTCCACCACTCCTTGTACTGAAGGATCCAGGTTACATTTTCACCACTCCTTGTACTGAAGGATCCAGGTTACATTTCCACCATTCCTTGTACTGAAGGATCCAGGTTACATTTCCACCACTCCTTGTACTGAAGGATCCAGGTTACATTTCCACCACTCCTTGTACTGAAGGATCCAGGTTACATTTTCACCACTCCTTGTACTGAAGGATCCAGGTTACATTTCCACCACTCCTTGTACTGAAGGATCCAGGTTACATTTCCACCACTCCTTGTACTGAAGGATCCAGGTTACATTTCCACCACTCCTTGTACTAAAGGATCCAGGTTACATTTCCACCACTCCTTGTACTGAAGGATCCAGGTTACATTTCCACCACTCCTTGTACTAAAGGATCCAGGTTACATTTCCACCACTCCTTGTACTGAAGGATCCAGGTTACATTTTCACCACTCCTTGTACTGAAGGATCCAAGTTATATTTCTGCCACTCCTTGTGCTGAAGCATAATAATAATATTGTCTTCTTATGGATCATTTATTTTCTCTTTAACAGGCTGGCAAAGCTCATTACGACATCATAAACTCCAAAGGTGCCAAAGGGAATCTTGTGGTGAAGCTGCAAGACTAACACACTAATACAGTGATGTGATGCAGCATTACTTGCTGTATCAGGATTTTATAGTAGTTTTTCATATCTTTCAAGTGGGCAGGTATTTTATAGAATCAGTCCTTCAGAATTTACTTTTGGCTGTATTATTTTCTTGTTGTAGTTTATGGTGCAGATTTATATTCATACTTTACCATGATGAATTAGACACTTGTGCCACACTTAGGTAGCTTTATTGTGGAACTGTGTCTAATTTATAAACTTGTCGGTTCTTTGAACCATTTATCTATGCATGGAAGAAATCACAATGAAGCGCTTGATTGCAGTTATGAAAAAAACACCAGTGAATTTATTATAATCAAAACAAAACGTTAAACCCATGAGGATCATACAGAGGATGTGTGTAAGCGCATGAAAGCGCTCAGGTTTTATATTCTATTGTCACTGGTATTTTTCTTATCTACATGTTTTACCATGTAGGGCATCATAATATGCTCTATCCTATTGTGTAAGCATTATGAGTTAATATATCCTTTAATCAATAAAATATTTTATATAATAGTACTGTGTGCATAATTCTTTTTTTTTTTTATTGATTATGGCTTCTCTGGCAATCAGTTTATCCATTCATATGAACATAAAGGAGTACTGCAGCAGGCCTACTCATCCATGCTAGGAAAGTCTAAGTCACACCCACTCATGTATTTTTCTAACCTATTTTTAAAGTTATACAAGGTTTTTGCTTCAATGACTGCTCTGGAATTTGTTCCACTCATCCACAACTTGATTACCAAACCAGTGTTTTCATATTTTTTTTTTTTTTTTTTCAACAAGTCGGCCATTTCCCACCGAGGCAGGGTGACCCAAAAAAAAGAAAGAAAATCCCCAAAAAGAAAATACTTTCATCATCATTCAACACTTTCACCACACTCACACATTATCACTGCTTTTGCAGAGGTGCTCAGAATACAACAGTTTAGAAGCATATACGTATAAAGATACACAACATATATCCTTTCTAAATCTAAATACAGTGGACCCCCGGTTAACGATATTTTTTCACTCCATAAGTATGTTCAGGTGCCAGTACTGACCGAATTTATTCCCATAAGGAATATTGTGAAGTAGATTAGTCCATTTCAGACCCCCAAACATACACGTACAAACGCACTTACATAAATACACTTACATAATTGGTCGCATTCGGAGGTAATCGTTATGCGGGGGTCCACTGTATATTGTATCTAGGCTGGGTGGGTGTGGCTCTCGCATTTTGGTGGGTCATTGAAATTGTGATAGTCTTTGCTTTCTCTGGGTCACTCTGCCTTTGTTGGGGGGGTGCGGGGGGTTAAGTTACAAAAAGAGTAAAAAAAAAAATTTATGAATGTGTTATTTACTTGAAACTGGAGTTATGAACTGGGAATATTGAGACATTCCTCCACTGCTGAATGTTATAGATGTGAGGATATTTGCAGTTTGGAAGGGCGACTATACTGTAGTATTGGCTTTCCTCTGGCAAGACACTATTAGAGGTCACCCTACCTCGGTGGGAGTTGGCCAGTGTGTTAAAAAATATATATTATTTAAGAATACAATACTAGCATTTTGTCATTATTGTATTCCATCAATGCAGTAATACTTCATGTATGTCAATATATGCAGTTCTAAGTTGAACTGGGAAAACATACAGAGAGTTGAAAGGTGCAGAATTCACTACAGTGGTGATGCAAAAAGTCATTATCAGTACCCACTGCACATCAAACAGTGGTGGTGGTGAGATCAAGAGTGTCTTAGAGAAGACAGACACAGTTATTAGCGCACTCAGCTCACACATGGAGGTCTGTAGTTCGATCCCCGGTATTAGTGGAAACATTGGGGTGTATTTCCTTAAGACACCTGCTGTCCCTGTTCACCTAGCAGTAAGTAGGTACCTGGGTGTTAGCTGATTGGTGTAGGATGCATTCTGGGGACAAAATTAACCTAATGTGCCCAAAATGCTCTGCACCGATGTCAGCTAGGTCTACTGTATATACAGTGGACCCCCGGTTAACGATATTTTTTCACTCCAGAAGTATGTTCAGGTGCCAGTACTGACCGAATTTGTTCCCATAAGAAATATTGTGAAGTAGATTAGTCCATTTCAGACCCCCAAACATACACGTACAAACGCACTTACATAAATACACTTACATAATTGGTTGCATTCGGAGGTAATCGTTATGCGGGGGTCCACTGTACATTGTATCATGTACTTATAGAAGTAGATTATTATTAGTAGTAGTAGTATTATTATTAGTAGTATTATTTTCAAGAACACTGGACTTAAGACATTAAAGTACTACTTGGTATACCACATGTACACAAGAAAACCTGCTGCCCTCACTATAGAAAGTGTGTTATCACTATCACAGGACTACAATCATCCACTGAATAATAATAATAATTTTTATTTCTACAAGTACATACACAATGAAAACCTTGTTATTCAAAGCATTTCGGGCAAACTAGGCTGATTTTGTCCCAGGATGCGACCCACACCAGTTGACTAACTCCCACGCACCCATTTTACTGATAGGTGAACAGGGACAGCAGGTATCTGCTGGGTCCCCATCACGGATATTATCAGTACCCCCTCTTGTTGATCACCAATCATATCTGGGAGCCAGTAAAGGGCCATCATTTGAATAAGACCCATGTCAGGACCTCATTCCTGACAAATATATCATGGTCGTCAGCACGCACCATTCAACCTGTCCTCGTAAAATGCCTGAAAAATCTGCAGATTACAACACTGAGCATTTTTGCAAAGACACTTAACTGCCAAATGCATAGCATTATTTTTAATCTACTTATGTGATTAAATAGTTTTTATGTACATTTATGCTTTTTTTTTTTTCATTTGTGTTAAGTGCTAAACCCACATGGGTCATTCACTGCAAGATGTGGTGGAGGTTTGATCCTCCATATGTTTACATTTATGTAACCTACTTAACCTAACCTAACCTAATCCAACCTTCCTACCTACTTTAACCTTCCTGCCTGCCTTAACATAACCTAATCTAACCTTCCTACCTACTTTAACCTTCCTGCCTGCCTTAACATAACCTAATCTAACCTTCCTGCCTACCCCTAACCTAACCTAATCTAATCTAACCTTCCTACCTACCTTAACCTAATTTAACCTTCGTACCTAACCTAACCTGAAAAAGTTGAGCAAGTACGAAATATTCATAAATTGGTAATGCATAAGAAAATAAAGCATATAGAATGAAGATGGGCAGCAGAATCTGGAAGAAATTTAGAAACAACACAGGAGTTTTTTTATAGAATAAATCTATGGAAGTCATTAAGAAAGTTCCTGAGCAATAAAAATTGTACATTACTAATGTTTGTTTCTTGTATATTTTATCAAATTATTATTGCAATAAAATACTGATTGTCAGTGTCCTTGTTTTTGTTTCCAAGATTTGTACATAGTACGTACAGTGGTACCTCGGGATACGAACTTAATTTGTTCCAGAAGGCTGTTCGAGTGTCAATAAAGAACGAATTTGTTCCCATAAGGAATAATGTAAATTATATGAATCAGTTTCAGACCCCCAAAAATACACTTACAAAAGCACTTACATAAATACACTTACATAATTTTTTGAGTTTTCAACTGTTCGTATCCCGAGGTACCATTGTACTTGGCTGACCCCAGAAACCTCGTATCTTCATATTATGCCCTGGGAGTCTTGTTTTCTTAAAAATTATATCCTAGGAGCCACTGCTGCTGACACTACTGACACAACTACCATTGCTGCTGACATTACTGATGCTCTGGCACTGCTGTTGATCTTACTGCCACTCCTATTGACACTACCACTGCTGCTGCTGACACTGCCACCACTGCTGCTGACACTACCACCACTGCTGCTGAACACTACCACCACTGCTGCTGACACTACTACCACTGCTGCTGACACTACCACCACTGCTCCTGACACTACCACCACTGCTGCTGACACTACCACCACAGCTGCTGACACTACTCATCACCCCTGCTGTGAACTGACACTGTGCTGACACTACCACTGCTGCTGACACTACCACCACTGCTGCTGACACTACCACCTGCTGCTGCAACTCTACCCCCCACTGCTGCTGACACTACCACCACTGCTGCTGACACTACTACCACTGCTGCTGACACTACCACCACTGCTGCTGACACTACCACCACTGCTGCTGACACTACTACCACTGCTGCTGACACTACCACCACTGCTGCTGACACTACCACACTGCTGCTGACACTACTACCGTGCGACATACACTGCTGTGACACTCACACTGCTGCTGAAATACCACACGCTGCTGACACTACTACCACTGCTGCTGACACTGCCACCACTGCTGCTGACACTACCACCACTGCTGCTGACACTACCACCACCGCTGCTGACACTACTACCACTGCTGCTGACACTGCCACCACTGCTGCTGACACTACCACCACTGCTGCTGACACTACCACCACTGCTGCTGACACTACCACCACTGCTGCTGACACTACCACCACTGCTGCTGACACTACCACCACCGCTGCTGACACTACCACCACTGCTGCTGACACTACCACCACTGCTGCTGACACTACCACCACTGCTGCTGACACTACCACCACTGCTGCTGACACTACCACCACTGCTGCTGACACTACCACCACACTGCTGCGACACTACCACCACTGTCAGTGCTACACTACCAACCTACTTCGACTCAGACACATACACCAGAACACATAACTGCTGTACATACACACACACTGCTGCTAGAACACTACACTTGTCAGTACATACACGAGACACATACACTGTCAGTACATTACAGAACACATACACTTGTCAGTACATACACGAACACATACACTTGTCAGTACATACACAGAGACACATACACTTGTCAGTACATACACGAGACACATACACTTGTCAGTACATACACGGAGACACATACACTTGTCAGTACATACACGAGACACATACACTTGTCAGTACATACACAGAGACACATACACTTGTCAGTACATACACGGAGACACATACACTTGTCAGTACATACACGGAGACACATACACTTGTCAGTACATACACGGAGACACATACACTTGTCAGTACATACACGAGACACATACACTTGTCAGTACATACACAGAGACACATACACTTGTCAGTACATACACGGAGACACATACACTTGTCAGTACATACAATGGGGACACATACACTTGTCAGTACATACACGGAGACACATACACTTGTCAGTACATACACGGAGACACATACACTTGTCAGTACATACAATGAGACACATACACTTGTCAGTACATACACGGAGACACATACACTTGTCAGTACATACACGGAGACACATACACTTGTCAGTACATACAATGAGACACATACACTTGTCAGTACATACACGAGACACATACACTTGTCAGTACATACACTGAGACACATACACTTGTCAGTACATACACGGAGACACATACACTTGTCAGTACATACAATGAGACACATACACTTGTCAGTACATACAATGAGACATACACTTGTCAGTACATACACTGAGACACATACACTTGTCAGTACATACACTGAGACACATACACTTGTCAGTACATACACGGAGACACATACACTTGTCAGTACATACATGAGACACATACACTTGTCAGTACATACATGAGACACATACACTTGTCAGTACATACACGGAGACACATACACTTGTCAGTACATACACTGAGACACATACACTTGTCAGTACATACACGGAGACACATACACTTGTCAGTACATACACTGAAACACATACACTTGTCAGTACATACAATGAGACACATACACTTGTCAGTACATACACAGAGACACATACACTTGTCAGTACATACACGGAGACACATACACTTGTCAGTACATACAATGAGACACATACACTTGTCAGTACATACACGGAGACACATACACTTGTCAGTACATACATGGAGACACATACACTTGTCAGTACATACACTGAGACACATACACTTGTCAGTACATACACGGAGACACATACACTTGTCAGTACATACAATGAGACACATACACTTGTCAGTACATACACGGAGACACACTTGTCAGTACATACACGAACACATACACTTGTCAGTACATACAATGAGACACATACACTTGTCAGTACATACACGGAGACACACTTGTCAGTACATACACAGATACACATAAACTTGTCAGTACATACACTGAGACACATACACTTGTCAGTACATACACGTAGACACATACACTTGTCAGTACATACACAGAGACACATACACTTGTCAGTACATACACTGAGACACATACACTTGTCAGTACATACACTGGAGACACATACACTTGTCAGTACATACATCCAAACCTTACATACACTTGTCAGTACATACACATGAGACACATACACTTGTCAGTACATACAATGAGACACATACACTTGTCAGTACATACACGGAGACACATACACTTGTCAGTACATACACGGAGACACATACACTTGTCAGTACATACACTGAGACACATACACTTGTCAGTACATACACGGAGACACATACACTTGTCAGTACATACACAGAGACACATACACTTGTCAGTACATACACTGAGACACATACACTTGTCAGTACATACACAGAGACACATACACTTGTCAGTACATACACGGAGACACATACACTTGTCAGTACATACACTGAGACACATACACTTGTCAGTACATACACTGAGACACATACACTTGTCAGTACATACACGGAGACACATACACTTGTCAGTACATACACTGAGACATACACTTGTCAGTACATACACTGAGACACATACACTTGTCAGTACATACACTGAGACACATACACTTGTCAGTACATACACTGAGACACATACACTTGTCAGTACATACACTGAAACACATACACTTGTCAGTACATACACTGGAGACACATACACTTGTCAGTACATACACGAGACACATACACTTGTCAGTACATACACTGAAACACATACACTTGTCAGTACATACACTGAGACACATACACTTGTCAGTACATACACTGAGACACATACACTTGTCAGTACATACACTGAAACACATACACTTGTCAGTACATACACTGAGACACATACACTTGTCAGTACATACACTGAACACATACACTTGTCAGTACATACATGAGACACATACACTTGTCAGTACATACACTGAGACACATACACTTGTCAGTACATACACTGAGACACATACACTTGTCAGTACATACACTGAAACACATACACTTGTCAGTACATACACTGAGACACATACACTTGTCAGTACATACAATGAGACACATACACTTGTCAGTACATACAATGAGACACATACACTTGTCAGTACATACACTGAGACACATACACTTGTCAGTACATACACTGAGACACATACACTTGTCAGTACATACACTGAGACACATACACTTGTCAGTACATACACTGAGACACATACACTTGTCAGTACATACACTGAGACACATACACTTGTCAGTACATACACTGAGAACACATACACTTGTCAGTACATACAATGAGACAATACACTTGTCAGTTCATTACACTGAGGGGCACATACACTTGCAGTACATACACTGAGTCACATACACTTGTCAGTACATACACTGAGACACATACACTTGTTCAGTACATACAACTGAGACAATACACTTGTCAGCACAGTACACTGAGACACATACATTGCTCATCCCCATAACACTGAACCATACCTTTTCAGACATAACTGAGTACACTACATTCTCAGTACAATACATGAGGTATATACACATTCAGTTATCTATTTAAATGTATATTATATACACTATGATCAGTATCAAATTACACTGTTATAGTAACATTACTACTTATATTTTATTCATAACACTGATGACAACATAGCTGGTTGGAGCCCATAAAAGAATAACTTTACCATACATATCTTCGCATCACTCTCTGTATACCAGAGTGCATACACTCAGTTTTTAACTGCAATTCTCTTATGCAGGACTTACCCTTATGACTAAGTGGCTATATCCTGAACGTGTATATCTGCTCACTCAATTACACGCAGTATGTACAGTTGTTCATTATCTATATTATAAGTAGATTGACTGTGGATCAAGCTTCACAAAAAATTCACTGTACCTATCCATATTTTCCTAGCATCTCCTACCCGTTCTTACACACTGCATACCATTTGGAAAGAATTCTGTTTCAGCTCATTCACTCCATTCACTCTTCAAACTAGCCTTACATACAGTTTTGTAAACTCACCTAATTAACACCTCTTGGGCATGCTTATGTAACTCCCATCTCCAGACTAATCACGCCT